GAGCCCAAAGACGGCCAAGCAAGGGCCCAAGAGGGGGAACACGAACCGAAAATCCGAGCCTTCCGCCCCAAGAGGCGCCAAGAGGCGCCCAGGAAGCCCCAAGAGGCCCCCCAGAGGCCCCCAAGAGGCCCCAAGAGGCCCCAAAATGCTCCCAAGAGGCCCCTACAGGTCCCCAAGATGCTAAGAGGCCCCAGGAAAACCCAAAACGGCCCACAAAAGGAGTCCCAACTGCCTCCAAGAGGCCCCCGAGAGGCCCCCAACGAGATCCCAACAAACATCCAACAGGCTTCATGCCCACAACCCAAGCACGGTGGCGGGATGGGCCGAAGGCCATTAGATCCGCCGCCCCCTGCTTGCAGGGGTGCACGGCGTGCTGGATGTTTCAGGTTTTGGTTTTGGTTCTTTTTCTAAAAGAACTCCCCAGTGGGCTTCGGCCCGTCCCGCCGGCCACCCGGAAAGGATGCCCAGGAGCTCAATTCCCCAATTTCCTGCCCCAGACGGTTCCAAGATGGCCTCCAAGATGCCTCTAAGACGGCCAGGATGGTCTCTAAGACGGCTAAGATGGCCTTATGATGCCTCCAAGACGGTCCAAGACGGCCTCCAAAACGGCCCAAGAGAGTCCAAGACGGCCCAAGACGGCCCAAGAGGCCCCCCAGAGGCCTCCCAGACGGCCCAAGAGGCCTCCAAGAGGTCCTCCAGGAGAGTCCGAAGAGGCCAAAATCATTGATTTTCCATTGGTTTTTGAAGGATTTTGGCATTTGCGCCTTTTCGGCTCTCCGACGGCTCAAGACGGCCCAAGAAGCCCCCAAGATCGCCCAAGAGGCCCCCAAGAGAGCCCCATGATGGCCCAAGTGGCCTCCAAGATGGCCCCTAGAGGGCCCCAAGAGGGCCCAAGAGGCCTCCAACACGCCCAAGATGGCCTCCCAGACGCCCAAGATGGCCTCCAAGACGGCCCTGGAGCATTCCGAGCGGGCCCCAAGTCGGCCCATAGAGGCCCCCCAAACGGCTTCCGACGGCGTCAGACGGACCAGGAACGCCCTAAGACGGCCAAAGAGACCCCCAGGAAGCCCCCAAAGGCCCCCAAGAGGCCCAAGGAGGCCCCCAAGATGCCTCCAAGAGGCCTCGAAGAGGCCCCCAAGAAGCCCCCAACAGACCCCAAGGGTGCCCCAAGAGACTCCTAACAACCCTCATCCTCCTACTCTATTTCTTCCTCTTCCTCTTCCTGTTCATAATCATTATCTCCCATGTGTTCCCCGAAAGCTTTCCAAACCGACTCGGGGAACTCATGGTCCGATAGCTTGGCCAAGCTCTAGTCCAACTTTCGGCCACATCGGCGTTTCCAAAAAGGCAGGGGGCGGCGGTGATTCGCCGTAGGCGTCTTCGATCCGCCGCCCCCTGCTTGCAGGGGTGCACGGCGTGCTGGATGATTCAGGTTTTGGTTTTGGTTCTTTTTCTAAAAGAACTCCCCAGTGGGCTTCGGCCCGTCCCGCCGGCCACCCGCGCATTTCCCAAAATGCGTCTGTCAATGCCCAAAAAACGGCCGTTTCGCTCGGGACATCCTCAAAAAATCGCGAAGATGGCCCAAGATGGCCTCCAAGTCCGCCCGAGATGGTCCAAGACGGCCTCCAAAACGGCCCAAGAGAGTCCAAGACGGCCCAAGACGGCCCAAGAGGCCCCCCAGAGGCCTCCCAGACGGCCCAAGAGGCCTCCAAGAGGTCCTCCAGGAGAGTCCGAAGAGGCCAAAATCATTGATTTTCCTTGGTTTTTGAAGGATTTTGGCATTTGCGCCTTTTCGGCTCTCCGACTGCTCAAGACGGCCCAAGAAGCCCCCAAGATCGCCCAAGAGGCCCCCAAGAGAGCCCCATGATGACCCAAGTGGCCTCCAAGATGGCCCCTAGAGGGCCCCAAGATGGCCTCCAAGACGCCCAAGATGGCCTCCAAGACGGCCCCTGGAGCATTCCAAGCGGGCCCCAAGTCGGCCCATAGAGGCCCCCAAACGGCTTCCGACGGCTTCAGACGTGCCAGGAACCCACCAAGATGGCCGAAGTTGGCTCGAAGCTGGCCCGAGACGGCCCAAAAAGCCCCAAAGATCGCCCAAAGCTTGCCCAAGAGGCCTCCAAGACGGCCAAGATGACCTTCAAGATGCCCACGTGTTCCCCGAAGGCTTTCCAAACCGATTCGGGGAACACGTGGTCCGATAGCTTGGCAGGTCTGGCCTCAACGTTCGGCCACATAGGCGCTTCCAAAAAGGCAGGGGGCGGCGGTGATTCGCCGTAGGCGTCTTCGATCCGCCGCCCCCTGTGGTCTTGCCACAGGGGTGCACGGCGTGCTGGATGTTTCAGGTTTTGGTTTTGGTTCTTTTTCTAAAAGAACTCCCCAGTGGGCTTCGGCCCGTCCCGCCGGCCACCCGCAAGTTTCCGAAAATCCATCTGTCAATGCCTTTGTTGCCCCAACTTGGCCCAAGATGGCCTCCAAGACGGCCAAGATGGCCCAAGATGGC